AAAAATTACCAAGTGTTTAGAAAAATACGATTAGTTATCAAATTTTTAAAAATACATCGATTTAATTCGCTTGTGCCAGTTGTGCATAGGTGACGTATGAGTCGACCAAAATGGCTGCCACAAAGGGTATAGCGTGCGTGGTAATATACGAGAGTTACATGTGTGTGTTGTCTTTTTAATATCTTTTCTCTCTGTAGTCAAAACGTTTTATCCGCATTTGTGTCCGACATTAATCCTGGTTAATTTCGTAGTTGTTTAAGTCACGATGATTACACTTTGTGGCATTTTAGAATGTGTGGGTGATCGAAAAAGATGTCTTATAAGGAGAGGAAATGCTAAAACTGATAACTTCTTAGCAACTAATTCACTTCAGTTTCACCATCATCTAATTTTGCTGAGCTTAAAATTCTTTTATTTTTACAAACCTTTTCAACCTATCTAATATAGGCCATCGTCAGGTTTAATACATGGTATTATAAATGTTCCAAAATGGAACGTACCGTTTTTGAATATTTTACATATTTAAAAATTTTTTTAAATTTAACTTTAAAATAAATTAAAAGAAGTGTGTACATTAAATAAATAAATAAAAAGTAAATAAACAAATAAAACATAGAAAACAATGCTAACTAGAAATAAGCATGATTTAAGGGTTTTTAAGTCCCATTCTTTTTCCTATTATATATTTCCATTTTATGTACCCCAGCTTTCTCTTCCTTTTTTAGGCTATCTTTATCGTTCCATAGCAAGCTATAGATATTGGGTGTTCTTTTATAGACCATTCTCAAGTTTTTATAAGAAAAAAAGCACCCAATATCTATAGCTCGCTACAGAACGATAAAGATAGCATAAAAAAGGGAGAGAAAGCTGGGATATATAAAATCTCATGTGAAAATCAACAGTTAGGAATTAAAAAGATTATGTGGGTGTGACTAGAAGAAACCTGGCGGTATGTATGAGAGAACATAGATACAGTACAACGTTGACAAACGACACAACAACATTAGCGATTATGGCGCAGACTGAAGGAGCGATTGTAAAATGAGAAGAGGCCAGTCATTAAAACGGTGCACTCTCCATTCATTGCGTTGGAGATGGAAAAGGTGGAAATTTATAAAAGTAAAATGAAAAACCGTTGCCTAAATGCTAGTGCTCTTTCAACAGTATGGAAATATATAATAGAAAAAATAATGGGACTTAAAAACCCTTAAATCATGCTTATTTCTAGTTAGCTTTGTTTTCTATGTTTTATTTGTTTATTTACTTTTTATTTATTTATTTAATGTACACACTTCTTTTAATTTATTTTAAAGTTAAATTTAAAAAAAATTTTAAATATGTAAAATATTCAAAAACGGTACGTTCCATTTTGGAACATTTATAATACCATGTATTAAACCTAGGGTTTCTCATTTCCCGGTATTTTGCTTGTCTCGGGATCCCGGGATAAAAGTGAACTGTTTCCCGGGATCCCGGGAAATCCCGGGATAGAATTAATTATTTTTAAGGTATACAAAATATCTTGAAATCAAATGATATAATTATTTTCCATTTTTTAAAGTAATTTTAAAGTTTTGTAACCTCCAAAATCATATTAATAATGCTGTGTTAGGTCTATAGGCCTATAATAAAAATTACCTTTAAATAACGTAGAAATTTTCACAAATAGAAAAAAATTAATTAAAGTTTGCTGGAAACTGCATACAACAACAACAAAAAAAATGTTCTGAATTGAGTTAAAAATTAAAAAAATGAACTTCTAATTTAGAAGGTAATTTTCGTTTTTTAAATAAAATATAATACAAAATATTGCAAACTTTTATAAGATTTTAAAAAGCAAAGATGGTCAATACTCCGATAACTCACTCTAATTCTTATTTTAGTAATGAAAAGTCTTGCCACCGAGAATGCCCTTTCCGATTCAATTGATGTGATTGGAATAGTGTTTAATGCATTTAAGAGAAGACAGATATTATGTGTTTTTTCACCTGTAGCCTGGAAGCTTTCGAGTTCGTTTTCGAGATTGTAGTACTTCTTTCGCTCTCTAGTATTCTTGATTTGTCTACCTTGGCTGCTTTAATAGCGGCATCAAGCTTAGAGCTCGATAATTCGGCAATTCATTTGGCTTTAATAATCAGGTTTATGAAGAAAAACTTCATACTTGCAGACTTTGTACTCGTTTGTATCCTTGCCCAATTTGCACAATCTGGCGTCAGGCATTTATTGAAGCTACTGGGCATGGTTAAAACTCAAGACAGCGTAAGCACAATTATTCCAGATATTACAGGTTTCGACAAGTAAAGAAATTTTATAGTCATGCCACAAATAAGCTATATATTGATTATTGAGCATTTGTGACATGCTATAACGAGCAAAAATTAAAAAAAACTAATAGGTAGGTTTAAATTAATAAATACAAATGTATTCTGGCAGTGAATGAGTTAATTTATGCTTTCTATTTGCAAAACTCCTCAACCTTAACACAAAATAAGAAAAAAAGTGAATTTTTAAGAAATTTGCGGGATTTCCCGGGATAAGAAAAATTTCCCGGGTTAAAAAAACAACCGGGATCTCGGGATCCCGTTTCAGAAACCCTAATTAAACCTGACGATGGCCTATATTAGATAGGTTGAAAACGTTTGTAAAAATAAAAGAATTTTAAACATAGCACAATTCTTTTATTTTTTTCGCAGTAATTTATTTTTTTGGGAATGTGTGCATATGTACTGAGTTTGATGCACCTTTAGACTTACATCCAAATTCACAGCAATACTTATTATTTACCATTGTAGGTAGAACACTTTCTAATTCTAACAGACCACAGACTTTATACGCATAGCAACCGCCATTACGTAGTTTGCGCTAATACCGCTAGATGTCAGATCTATCGTTGGCACAAGCGAATACTCTCATTTGAAGTTTAATGTTTAACTAAAAGAATCCTAATTTCGAATGGAGGGATGGCGTTTAATGCGATAACATTTCTATCCAACGATACGAATTGGCGATTATTGCAATTTAAATTAATAATTAATTAATTGCGCGGCCACCACGATTATTCGGGCAGAAGGGGAAAAAGTCACAATAGGGTACGGACGAAACCGTCGACCGACCGGCTGGTGGAGCGGGCCAAATTTTTCGGGCCTCCCGGGCGTAAACAGGACCAGTTTTGCCGGAAAGCCTTCCGCCGAAATCTAAAGCCCGGTACTCACGCGGCAACGGACGAGGGAACGGCAAAAAATTAGACCGACAGGAAGGCCGTTTAGCAACGTCGCACAGTGGGACCAAATCCCAAAAAGCTGGCCAAAAGTCGAAAAATAGAGTTTAAGTTCCGGTAATTTTTAGTCATGGGTTCGGTTGGATAAGTGTCCGAAGGTCGAATTCTAGACTTTAGTGCCCCCTATCCCTTATACTTGCTATTGTAGTTTAGTTAAAAGTGGACCCTCAATCGAGCTAGACGCGTCATGCAGTAAGCAAAGATTTCTACGCTATATTCAAGAGGGTGCCAAATCTCTAAAAATCAATCGAATTCAAATTTAAAAAATGGAATTTGCAGCTGCAAGTAAGTAGAATATCATTATGTAACACAAAATTGATAATAATACTTTATGTGATAACAATAAACGAATGATTTGTACGAAAATGAACGGAAGATTACAACAGAAAATTTTAAACACGTAAAGAAAAGTTCATAAATTCTGTAGAGTTCTGCGACTGGACCGATCGCATGTTGTAGATCGAACTATTATTGAATGAAAAAAATTAAAACTAGCTGCAACTAGCTGCAACTGTGTCATTGGTGCGAGTTCTTGCAATGTAAAACATAGTTTTCTGAATTTTGTACATTAATGACGCGGAATGTTTTGCTCTTTTTCTTGAATTTGTCTGGTGTTTTGAATATTGTTTGCATGTAGCATATAAGCTTGAAATCAAACTGTGGCAAGCGCATAGTGATAAAGAAAATAAAGAAATAAGATTCTGAAAAACGAATATACAGAAGGGTTTCCGTATAGAATTGGGTCTAATAGTCGATCAACCAAAGCCTGGTTTCGGTAGCTCGAATGATGAGAATACCGCTCGACAATTTTTCGAAAACTCAAGCATTTCTGCTGCTATTACAGGGGTTGATGAGGACTTGATTAAGCGTTTCCATGTCATATTGCAGACAATTTCGTGTGGCCATGAAATCGATTTCATAGAATTTCAAGATTATGCCTTACAGACAGCTCGTTACTTTGTGCAGTTATATCCGTGGTTCTGCATGCCAACTTCGGCACATAAGATATTGATTCATGGTGCAGAAGTGATAAATTCATCGGTATTGCCGATAGGACAGATGTCTGAAGACGCTCAAGAGTCTACTAATAAATACATTAAAAAGTTTCGAGAAGATTTTGCAAGAAAAGTTCACGAGTGAAAACAGTGGAAGACATTATTTTACGCTTATTATTAATATCCGATCCGTTTATTTCGAGTTTGTGCGAATTACCTCGAAAAAACTCAAAGTCCTTGCTTCCAGAAGCAGTTTTATTGTTAGTTGCGCCACGTATACCAGCAAATACAGGAAGCTCCAGCGATTTCAAAGTTGAATCATCTGATTGTGAATCAAATTATTCTTTGGATGACGATGCATGAACTTTTAATCAACTGATTGTATGTTTTATCGTATTAAACAATATATGGATTTATTTTGTACTTTTCCTATAAAAGTGGTTCGTGTTAAATTTGTCATTTTGTTTTCATTTAAAATTTTGACTTCGGATTCGTAATCAGCGATCCCCAAAACCCTCGAATACTGACTTTCAGCCAAATTGATAACGCTTTTGACTTTCGGCCAGCTTTTTGGGATTTGGCCCCACTGTGCGTCGTCGTAAATATCGCGTGGGACGACAGCGTTCGAACTATGGCGGTCGGCGAGCTAAAAAGCTTTATTTGTACACTAATACGCTATATTACTATCCGATTTAAACGCTAAAGTCAAATAGACGTACTGTACTTACCGCGTAAAGTATTGAGAATGGAGTAATCGTAATTCGGCGACGAAAGCATCGGATATTCCTAACTTTCGACGATTTAGAATATTTTTCCTATCCGAATTATTCTTTTTCAGGCTTTTCATTTGTCATAAGATCGAAGGCAAACTTAAAAGGTTTAACCGATATAACAAAGCAATCCCGGTAAACGCCATTTTCGACTACCGGCACGCGGCCTACCTACTGTAGTAGCTGGTTTACATTCACGGCCGGCAGATGGAGCGTTTCAATCGTAGGGTAATTTTCGCCAGAGAGTACCGGGCTTAATCCGAAAACCGTTGGCCACCAACCCGGGCCCTTAGTCTATTTTCTCGTGTTACGACTCCCGACGTGTCGAAGGTGTCGCGCGGTACCGTCTCACTCCGACGTCAAATTGGTAGTCTCGAGTTATAACTCGCGCGCTTTCCCATCTCACCAAGCGTTCGTATTCGCTTCGAGTCGAGCGTGCGAGATCCGTACACGAAAGCGAAAATGGCCGACGGACACGCTATTCCGATGGCGATCGAAGCGTTAGAAAGAGCCGAGAATCGTTTAGGAAGGTAACGAATTTTTCGACCACCAGTAGATGCCATTTGTTTTCGTGTCGAGTCAACGCTAATGAAAAAATTTTAATTGGTAATTGATAAAATTATACAGGAAATTTTTCCACAAATAAAGTGTCTAATTCGTGGAAAAAGAAAATTAAAATGACAGTAATCTTCGACTACATAGTGTTTGAGTCCTTTTTCCTATTTATATCCTTTTTAATTCCAATCCGGGAATCGCAAACGGCGGGCGACTCGAAGTAAAACTTCTAAAAACACAAATACTATCAAAAAGTTTCGCGCACAAAAATAATCTCGACGACTACAAACATTAATTAATTAATTAAAAATTTCTCACCGCAGTATCCGTGTTTTATAATTGCATTTAGGCCGAGAGTCCCTTTCAATATTGAAGATAACTATAATAATCCTGGGATAATACGTACAATGACAGAAATTTGTGTGTAATTTATTAGAGCGTGGACACTATATTAAGATTATTTATTAAGCAGAACTTGATAAATAAATAATCTTCGCGGACAAAACAATTTGAGAAATAGACGGAGGAAGAAAACTATACGAAGAAAGAATTAAATTAAAATACGTTTTCCATTGAGCGGCGGATTTTTTAGCTCCAACACACGCGATTAATTTTTCAACCAATTGTCTTTTTCTAGTAAATTCGTTGTCGAATTTTCCACTGTTCATTTTCTTATTATTTTCTATATTTGATACTAATATTTCTGTTTCTTCTTTTAAGTGTAATACGGGTAAACTGATTCGCCTCGATTTGTTTACAACTCGTTACGGATGAACGACGTCGGTTCGAATACCGTACAACACGAAAAACTCGAAACTAAGGGCGTCCGACAAAAACTTAATTCTTACGTCGGGCATCGGGTTCCGCACGGGCGCGATTAACTCAGTGGCGTACCGTGAGTGTCAGCCGCCCGGGGCGGAGGAAAATTTCGGCCCCCCTTATTTAGGTATTTCAATTTAAAAGAACAAAATTCAGTTTTGTCACAGAACAAGCAATGACAGATTCGAATGAATGGTACAAGCAAAAATTTACAAGATATTATTAGACTATCATTTATTGTGAAATTTTGCCGCCCCCTACGGTACGCCACTGGATTATCTGGAAAATTAAGTTTTCCGTAATATTCTACTTAAATTAGGAAAATCTTTCCATTCAGGCCATATTTGTAATTATAGTAGAATATAATCGTCGACCTTATTACGGCCGTAAAAGATAATTACCACCGGCGGAGTCTGAGCCCGGTCCGAAATATTCCGCCCCTCTTCCGGCTAAAGCTTAGTTCGCACCGAGAGAATAGCGAAAGCGAATGAGAAAAGCGAGTTTTATTCGCTTAGCGAAATTGACCCATACGACCAAATGCGAAAAACCATTGCGAATTTTAAGGAGCCAATCACGCAAGCGAGAGAAACAAAATGGCCGCTTCCGATATTTCGTCTTTAATCACGTCTTTATTTATTCAGATAGACAGATAAAACGATGCGTATTTACATTTACTCTATTGCGTGAGAAAGTTTCTGTAGCCGTCTGGAAAACAACAACCACGTGACAACTAGCGGGAAAACGATTGGTGTCGAAAAAGCTCGACCGTTCCGAACTTCGAAGCGATTGGCCGGAAACGACACGTCTGACGCGTTATTCGTTTTCGCACGAGAATCGCAATCAGTGCGAACTAAGCTTAAATAAAGCCGGCCTCGGCATCCTTGGCCGTACAGACGGTCCCGCCCGCCGCCTCCGCCAAAAGTTTTCTTTCCTTTACGTAAATAAAATAAATCGCTAAAACAAATGCCCCGAGCGCGGATGGGCGGGAAAAATTTCGGAAATCGGCCGCACCTACGCCTTGGAAATTGCTTTCTCCGTATTTTTACACAAGTGACGAACGTCCGAAATACGAAAACCGCATTTTAAGCAATTTTTAAAGGCGGCCGCGGATTTATCGGAGGAAAGAAAGGGACACAGACTCGGACTTAAGACAATTGTATTTTACACAAATGGAGCGCGTTACACGGCCACGCGTGTTGGGACGCGGAAACCGATTCCGTCCTCTCCGTACGCCGACGCGTCTGACGGACCTTCCCAAAGGCCGGAGAGGCCCCAGGCGGCGCCCGCCGCCTCTTCAGGCGGAAAGACCGGCTCCGCCCGATGCGGGTGGAGGTCCGACCGAGCGGAAAGGAAGGGAAGACGGGAGGCCGCCGCGCCTTTCCCGCCCGGCGGACCGTAATTCGCTATAAAAAGACGCGTCCGGGTCCGACCGGATTGTCCTGCCGCCGTCCAAAGTCGGGGAGCCCGTCCGGCCGCCGACGTCCTTCCTCCGGAGACCACCTACAAAGACAAGTGACCAGTGGTTAGTCGGCTTCTAACGATCGGCAAACGCCGAACTGGACGGCGCGATTTTAATTCCGCTTTATAAAACGTGGGCACCGCCCCGCCGCCCGCCGGGACCTTAACGGAGACGTAGGAGTAAAAAAGTCGAAGAAACCGTACCCGTCAAATGTCGTCCTCGGCCGGATACGGTCCCGAAATCGGCTGAAAGCCCACTTCTGGGCGCTACGGGGTGTGACCTAAGTCCGTGGCGCGTTTAAGTAATAAAAATAGCAATAAAAATAATAAATGCATCGACTTCTACCCACCGAAAACGGTCTTTACCTCCAACCAGTACTACGACCTATTATCCCCGCTCGGCCTCGTCCGGGCCGACCATCCCCGACCTCTTAAAACTATACGACGTCGAGTGGGCAACCGGAAGCCGACATAGCCGCCGGGGCTAAATAGTTAAACGCCGTAGTCTAGGCGGAGCCAGCGGCCGCTGCCGATTTCGGGGGCCGGATTTGGCCCAGGGTGACAACTACGGGTACGGTTGAATTGACATTTTTGCTCCCGCGGCTCCGTTAATTTAAGGTCCCGACGGCGTCGTCGACACTCGCAGTCGTACCCCCGGCGGGGTTTAAGCGTTCGGCGTAAATGCGCCGCGGTCCGTAACGTCGCATTTTCGGTTTATTTCCGTCCGGGACGAACAAAGAATCCCAGACCCGGGTACGACCGACGTCCGCGAACGGGACCGAAATTCCCAGCCCGCCTCCGACGAAGGAGTAAAAAAAGGCGAAAGTTACCGGAAATTGCGCGGAGGACGCCGGTAATAAAGTTAATTGAGTCGGAAATAAAACACGAAGAGAAGTTAGAAAGGAAAGACTTTAATCTGGGTTTTTATAAAACTTGAACGGTTGGATGACCGCGCCGTCTTTACCGGATAATTCGCCCCCTTCGGTCGACCGGAGATAAAACCGCCGCCGCGGCGGAAGTCGTGTTTCGACCCGCGAATTAAAATGCGCGGGCGCAGGTTTAAAAGGTGGACTTTAGGCGTGAGGAGAAAAGTTTAAACCGCGCGGAGGAAAAAAAAAGACAGAAATAAATATACAACCTTGTGGCCTTTCACCTATTCCTGTGTTTCTCTCTGGACTTCTTACCAGACTCTTCGCTCTCGGAACTGGCCGACCCGCTGGTCCTCCTCCTCTTGGGCGAGCGAGATCGACTGGCCGAACCGCCGCGTCGGTACCCGTACTTGGACGATTTCTTGGACTTCTTGGAGGCCCTGGACCTGCCGGAGCCGCTGGAAGGCGAGCTGCTGCCCTCTCTTCGGGACTTTTTGGACCCGCCGGTCCCGCGCCCGCCGCCCTCTCTGCCGGCGGAGCCGCTCCGACCGCGTTTGTACCTGGAGCTCCACCTACCGCCCGAACCGGCCTTGCCGTCCCGGCCGCTGCTGCCGTCCCTGCTGCCGCTACGCCTCTTGCCGTCCCTGCTGCGGCTGCGCCCGCTTCTCTTCCTGCCGCCGCTCCTTCCGCCGCCGTCGTTTCTTCGTCCCTCGCCCTCCCTCTTGCCCTCCCCGTCCCTGCCGCGGCCGGTCTTGCCCTCCCGACTGCCGTCCCTCTTTTTAGCTCGGCAGTCGTCGCGGCTCCTCCTGCGGCGTCGTCCCGCCCTGGCCTCCTTCTTCTTGACGCGCTTCCTGGCGCGGCAGCCGTCGGCCGACGAGCTGCTGGCGCTGTCCTCCTCAGAGTCCGTGCTGCTCTCGGAGCTTTTGCCGGCTCTGGCCGCCTCCGGGGCCGCCCGCACCCGAGTCTCTCGGGCCGCCGCCGCTTCCGACTTGGCTTCCTTGCCGGACTGTTTGCCCTCGGCCTCCGACTTGTCCGCCTCGGCGCCGGCACACACCGAGCCGCACTTCTCCTCCTCTTTCTTCTCCTTTCTGCTTCTGTCCGTCGGTTTGCTCTCTAAAACGAGAAAACAGCCGTTAATCCGCCGAACTTTCCTCCCGCCGCCGCCATTTTAAAAACGCCTTCCATGTAGGCAGCCGTTGGATTATTAAACAGCCTAGTAGAATTTTATCGTCATTTTACAAACATTGTTTTTCCTATTTTTTCCAACATTTATTTAAAGTATTCAAAATATATTTTGTACATCGGCGCAATCACCGGGCTAAAATATAAGTCGTCCGCGACCAAAGTACTCGAGTATTAAACATCGTACGACCCTTTTTTAAAATGACGACGACGTAAAATTACTCAAAAATTAGTTTATCTTTTGCCAAAGTCGATGCGTTTGTTAAATAATTTTTCAGAAAAAATTGCCCGACCGTCGTGGTCATAAATTTCGCATTTACGGATGTCAAAAAGTCTGTCCCCCACCGGTGGCCCAGCGCTTCCGTTCCCCAACACTGGCAGTTGGCGCCTGGCCACGTGGAATTTTCCGGGGTTTCTCCACGCTGTAACGGCCGAATAGGAGCCAGTTACCCTTAGAAAGTCCCAAGTAGTGCGTAGCCGTAAATTAACAGTCAGTCAATTATTGCCCCGTACTAAAAATAGATCGTTGGTGTAACGGCGACGAGTTTAATTTTATTTCTATTAATCGACGTATGACGTGGAGTTTATAATCGCATACGCCACGCCGGGATTGGCCCGCGTGGCATAAATGAATAAATATATCAATTTCCCAGCTGAAAAGTTTTAGAAAATAACGTTTGAATTTATGTATGTGAATTGTTTTCCTACAATTCACATACATTCCAGTTATTCTCAAAAAAAGAGATATCTTGGGTAATATCGAACTTTAAACGAGGGAAAGCCCCGGGACGTGATCTAATTACAATAGAAATTGTAAAACAAATCAATAAGGATTCCGAGAAGGACGTTCGCGGAAGATGCTATATAAAAAGTAATTAAAGATATGGAAGAAGGGAAGAAAAATAACGGCTGGACAATTGCTCTGTCTTGATACAGAAAGTGCTTTTGATAACGCACGGTGGACACTAATCCATGCTAAATTAGAGTAGACAAATTGCCCAAACAATTTGTATCGTCTTATATGTGATTAGAGAGGTTGCGGCCGACGTTTTCATCGCGAAAACGTGTACGTCGGACGTTCAGCGCCGCCTTCCTGCAACCTCAGAAGTTTGACATTGGTGTTTGGAATGTCGAGCATGATTCCACTGACTATCGAAACACCATTGTCAAACTTCTAGGCTTACGGGAAGGCGGCGCCGAACGTCCGACATACACGTTTTCGCCATGAAAACGTCGGCCGCAATCTCTCTATTATCTAACAAACAGAAAGGCATACATAGAATTTGCAGACATAAAAATGAAGAGACACGAGTATGTGCTGTCCGCAGGGATCCTGTTCTGGACCCATTTTTCGGTCAATTATATTAAACGATCTCTTGAAAATCAATACATTATCAGAATCAAAAATAACAGCATTTGCTGACGATATAAAGGTCATCTGTTCGGCAAAAAGCAGAAAACAAATAGAAATAAAATGTAAAAATATACTGGATAAAATAGAGAAATGGGGAAATGCAAACAAACTTAAATTTAATCCAGAGAAGGGAAACGCCACAGCCCTACAACATGCAAAGTGACAAACGGGCAACCCACAATTAAAATGCAAAATAAATCGATTAAATGCGTAAACCAAATCAACTATTTAGGAATAACAACAGATAAACTTTTATGGAATGAACACCTAGAAACAATTAAGAAAAAAGTGGGTAACTTATTTCAAGAAATAGCGAAAGTAGCACGTAAAGAATGAAGTACAGGTGAAAGGGCTTTAACACACATTTATAAAAGTTCTGTAATCCCAATTATCACATATGCTGCCCAAATTTGGGGGAAGAGGACGGAATTCACACACACGAAACAGAAAATAAATAGCCTACAGAAAAAATGCTATTAAGAATTACTGGAGCATGCTGTACTACATCACACGACGCATTCCGTGTACTGGCGGGCCTAATGCTTCTGGATTTGGAAATACGACAGTATAGTGACGCAAGAAATATATTAAAAGAAAACAAAACTCATAATGATTTGTTGAAAAAAGAGGACGAGCTAGAAGCAGATACGAAACAACACCAAAAATTATTAAGATATGAATGGAAGAAAATACATATAAAGAAATACAACTATCGGGATAAATACAGAATCTATACAGACGGATCGAGATCCACAGAAGGTGTGGGAGCGTCTTATCTTTATTGCTATAGAAATAGGGAGCAGTATCGTAAAAAGATCAAGTTACATAAAAGATGCGCAAATTACCAAGCTGAATTGGTAGCGATAGATCACGCAATTAACTGGATAAGCCAAAGGAAAAAATATATAAAAATTACTATTTGTACAGACGGCCAGGCTGTATTAAAAGCTCTTAACGACGGTAACAATAAAAGTGAACTAATAGATAATATAAGACGAAATATTGTGAAAAGTGATAATATGCTTGTGTTCGGCTGGGTCAGAGCCCATTTCGGAGACCGAGGAAACAGAAGAGCGGACGGTCTGGCTAAAGAGGCTAGTTATCTAAAAACAAAGGAATCTTACGGAAAAATATCTACAAAATACATAAAAACTAAAGTCAAAAGTAGATACATATTACAGTGGCAAGGACGATGGGAAATAACTACAAAAGGAAGGGAACTCTTTGAATACGTACCAGATATTAACCGGAGGTTGAATAACAAACGTCTAAAAATTGGACACAAGTTTACAAGATTTGTGACGGGACACGAAGATTTTGCGAAATATCATTACAGATTTAATCATCGAGATGACGAAAACTGTGAGATTTGTGGGATAAGTGACATACACATCTTATTTGACTGTATGCAATATGAAAAAATAAGAAACGAACTAAAATTAGTTTGTAATAAAGAGGGTTAAAATTGGCCTATTAGGAAAAGTAGCCTTATAAATAATGTTAGCGTATATTATTATTATTTCAATGAATTTATAAAAATAGAACATAAAAAATTCTCATATAGATCATTGCCAAACTAATATCAAATACTTTACTCAACAAAACAATATAATTAATGTGAATAAAAATAGAATTGTGGGGTATTAATGTATTGCGGCTACGACCGCGACTATTTAATCATAACCACCTGCCAAGCAGGGTTAATTAAAAGAGGCAGTAGCATTTAATGCTACAGGTCAGAGGGAGTGCTCCACGAAATGTAATGTATTTATGTTTTCCCGCAATGAATTTAGTAAAAATTAAAGCCAGAAACCAACTAACAGACTGGAATCCAAACTAATTTAAAACTAGCGGTGGCTAACATTTAACAAAATTTTTCCAATATATTACATTTACATCGGTTCCAGAAGCTAAATTAAGTAAGTATACCTATGCTAATTTATAATTACTGTATACACGAATAAATAATTGTGATTTATCGGCATTTTTGAGCCGATGCTCTTTATAGACCATTGTCGAGATTTTATAAGAAAAAGAGCATCCAATATCTATAGCTCGCTACGGAACGATAAACTACGCTTAAAAAAGGAAGAGAAAGCCGGGGTATATAAAATACCATTTGAAAATCAAGAGTTAGGAATCGAAAAAGATTATGTGGTGTGGTTAGAAGAAATCTGGTGATAGGTCTACGAGAACATAGATATGTTGACAAAGGACACAATATCAGCGATTATGGCGCAGACTAAAGGAGCTGTTGTAAAATAGGGAGAGGTGAAAGTCATTAAAACGGTGCTCTCTCCATTTATTGCGTTGGAGATGGAAAAGGTATCAATAGAAATTTATAAAAGTAAAATGAAAAACCGTTGACGAAATGCTAGAAATGCTAATGCGCTTCCAAGGGCGTGGAAATATATAAAAAAAGAATGGGACTTAAAAATATATTAGGCAGCTTGAAAAGGTTTGTAAAAATAAAAGAATTTTAAGCTCGGCAAAATTAGGTGTTGGTGAAACTTCAGTTTTATTTCCCACTTTTTTCGCAGTAATTTATGTTTTGGGAATGTGTGCGTATTTACTGCGTTTGATGAACCTTTAGACTTAAATCCAAATACACAGCAATACTTATTAGTTATCGTTGTAGTTGAACACTTTCTCATTTAACAGAACACAGACTTTATACCCATAGCAGCGGCCATTATGTAGTTTGCGCTAATACCGCTAGGTGCTAAATCTATCGTTGGCATAAGCCCACCATACTCAACCTTTTTTTCTCTCGGGCCACATACACATGATAGCTACTACAAGCGGGCCACAACGTAACAATTATAATAAAAAAAAGTTACTTAATTTCTCATTTACCCTAGAAATTTAGTGTGACTGCTGATATTGCAAACATTTTTTCACAATTTCATTTAAATCTTTTTTTTTATACTCTTTCTGTCCTGTGGGCACTAAGAGGGCCTCAAAGCAGGCCCATTATGGGTTCGGCCACGTGGAGTTTTCCGGTCCTTCACCACCCAGTCACACCATTGTGGGCCTCCACAATGGTGTGACTGGGTGGTGAAGGACGGGGCCTGACATATCCAAACAGACAACCCCCCGAAAAATTCCCGGGGATTCCCTGACCCGACCAGATTTGATCCCGGGTCCCCCAGAGCGGTAGGCTGCCACCTTGACTGCTTGGCCATCTGGCCGTCAATTCATTTAAATCAGGCTTGTAACTGCTGCATTCTACTCGTAAAACGGCATCCAGGTGTGAATCAGTAAGCCAGTTTCTATATACAGTATGTTCTTTGCATATTTCATTTTTGAGTATGAAGTTTTCACATAGATACGTTGGTACGAACAACGTAAGTAAAATTTGAGTACTTTTTTTACAGTCTTATATTGATCGGGCACTACTTTCCAGAAGTGGTAATTATTTCCAATGTAATTATTTTCCGCTCTCTTTCACGACCGGGCCACTCACTAAAGCTCAGTGGGCCGCAGGTTGAGTATGGTGGGCATAAGCGAATAATGTTTCGATTTAAAACACGTGGTTTCCCCGCATTTTGCCAAATATTCGCAAACCTCGTTCGAACAATTGACATATTCTGAACCTCTGGTGATATCTTCTTAAAACAGATAAATGACCAATACGTCTATTTCAAAGAAGTTTTTAATTATTATAAAAGAATGATGATATTGTTTCAAATAAAGTTTATTTTATTTTTTACTGTCTAAGCATGTTGCGTAAATATGTAAATAACTTTTGGTTTTGTTACTCTGAATGTACAGTACAATTCCTTAAACATCGCTCTCTTTCTGACTACAGGGTTTTAAGTCAAGTTCTCGAATTCTGTAGGTGCCCAGATAATTATTTACAAATGCACCGAAAATAAAATAAAAACTAATAAATTGTATCGTATTACGTCAAGATGCCAAGAGGTCCGAGAAGTTAGATTAATGCCTAAGTCTCGTTGGTGGAAATTGAGACCCATAACATCTATTATCGAATCAATGTCAAAATTCCACGATGGAAGAGTGCGACGGGTAGCAAATTACTTGTAGGTCGTAATATAATGTTTCACAATTTCAATTTCTTCTCCTTCGTGCATTTTTGAAAATAAATAAGAAATCAAAACCACGCAAATCATTGCTGTCTCTGCCACATTTATATATCAATCTCACAATTTAACTTTCAGCTGCTATCCACTCTGTTTTATTTTTTAACTTGATTTATGAAGTCTTCCAATGCTATAGAAATGGAAAATTTGTTTTTCTGTTTCGTATTTCCTTTCCTCGGTACTTTGTTGCAATGGAAAGGTGGCTTCCGGTAAATCTTAAGGGTCTCTGAATATTTGCCTTATTCAATTTTTTTTGTTTGTTCATAAAGCAATAATATCTTTGTAAGAATAAACTTATTTTAATAATTGTTACACTGAAGTATTGAATAACTAAGATCGGATTATCTGCCGAATTATCGGGCTATAACAAAGCTAATATAATAATTAGATACGAAGTAGGCTGTTTGGCCACCGTCTAATGATAATTTTAACAATTATAATAAAATTATTTTTAATTTACAATTTTCTGAAAGAAAAGGAGTCAACTCCTGCTCGTTGTGCGGATGCATTGCCAGTTACCCTATCTGCACTTTCGTCAATCTTAGCTTCGTAAATTTAATTATAACCTAGCCCCAAAATTTAGCAGATTGTCCGGTTTTGATCAAAAGTAAAGAGTTAGTAGAGTTCTTCGTATATGTAACTAAAGTATGTAACTTGGTGAGGTGGTAACTAAATGATACCTCTAGTTTTCCTTTAAGCTATATTCAAAGGCATTTTATATCGTAGTTACAGTGTTTTTGTAAATTGAATGAGCCATACTTGGCAAATATATATGTAATGGTAGTCAGCCTTTAAGGGTGCGACTATGCAGACGCGAATTTAGAGCAAGCGAGAGGTTGCGAGCGATTTAGTTTTCGCAAAGGAAAACCATGCACAAACGAGAAGCG